GGTTTCCGGTTAGAGCTATTTATATATGTGTCATTTATTACATTTTTTTTCTTTGCAAATTATGAAAGGCTTTATAGATGTGAAATACAGAGCCAGATTTTGTATACCCCCGTTTGCACGGTGAACAGAGCATGTTTCTCTTTTTCCATAAACTGACGACTCTGTCTTAAATTTGGCGCCAATTGAATGTTATAGGTTAGGAGAAAGACCGACGAACCAGACCGAGAAAGTGTGTAAAACTAGTATGTTGGTAGATAAGGCATAGATGTATATAAGAACACGATGTTTAACAAGAAACGCCTTTTTACAAGCCAACGGATATTGAGACTACCCTAACAGGTACATCGCGGATATTTATTTATTTTCCATAATTAAAACATTGGAGAAACATTTACACGAATGTTTGTAAGTTTGTGTTTATAACTTGAAAAAATATAGGAAGTGTGATATTTATTTGAAATTCACAAAAATACTAGCCCGTTCGACTTAAACTGACAATTGTCAACATTATCTTGTCAATCCTTGAAATTCACTGTGTGCAATCACAGAATCCCACTTAACCACAGCTTAAATGTTTAGTGTTGATTGTTGTCCGCCGCTCTGGAAATTGTCAAGTTGCCATGAAATAAATCTTGAGGAACTCTTACGTCTTTAATGGACGTAATTAATGGAATAACGGAAAGACATCTTGATTTTGCATTCACGTGCAGTGTTCTCGCTAGGCTTCTTCAAAGGTCTACCTGGGTTTGACCTTGTCCGAGAAGCAAGACGAAGCATTGGTAGTTTTTCAATCCCCGTCAGTGTTGACAGAGGCACTTTTTCAGTTTTTAAAGAATCATTATTCGAACCAAGGACACGCGTCAATAAAATGCTGAATGCAATCACACTAAAATTGATGACATGAACTACAGTAAATATTACGGTCTATTTTTGAACGGTCACCTATATTCTATTGATAGATTTACTCAGCGTGGCACCTGTGGTCCAGCATGGTGGTACAGGTATACATGTCTAGCTTTGTGTGGGCGGATATTACAAGGAGCGCGCGAAATAGCAATATAAGAATACATACACATTCCGCCACAAAGAGAAGTATGTATTAGTGGAGACCTGGGGAATAAGGTAATGGCTGGCAATGTGGGATCTATGTCTATCTCAACGGTCCTGTAGGTAGGAGGTAGAGAGAAATGGGACGTTTGCAGCCTTTGGTCGATAGACTGTCGGTATTTGTGCCGCGAACAAACCATTGGCACGATAGTAAAAACAAATGCCTTCGTTTGTTTCTATTCATTTACACAGAAGCAATCAACTTTCGGATGCAATTATTTTTATTGACTTTCGCGGTATAAAGGACAATATGTTCCGATTGCAGTCAGAATAAAGATGCCATATGACCTGTTACCAATGTCATTGGAATTATCTGAATGTGTTTATTTTACGGCGCGATCATTACAGTTGGATTTCTTCCCATTGTGTAGCCCGTATATGTATTATGTAGCGCGTATCTGTATCACACATTGTGTAGCCCGTATCTGTATTGTGTAGCCCGTATCTGTATTACACATTGTGTAGCCCGTATCTGTATTACACATTGTGTAGCCCGTATCTGTATTGTGTAGCCCGTATCTGTATTACACATTGTGTAGCCCGTATCTGTATTGTGTAGCCCGTATCTGTATTACACATTGTGTAGCCCGTATCTGTATTACACATTGTGTAGCCCGTATCTGTGTAGCCCGTATATGTATTACACATTGTGTAGCCCGTATGTATGTAACTGAAGCTATGGCTATTGTGTTGGTAGAAAAGAAAATGTTATATGCAATCTTGTAATTTCTTTGAAAGTGACAACAAAGTTGTGTAGGTGGCAACGATGACGGTGTTTACATTTAGAACTCAGGGGACGGATAGACGAAGACATACTATCCGAATCATAGCAAACATCCGGTAGATCGTTTGTGTTGCTGATACCCTAGGTTCTTTTCGCTTTGTCTATTTGTATGGTATTCCTGGAATTTCTACTGTGCATCAGGTGGTACCACAGAGACATGCCTTAACAGTTTTTGAAAATCGTGTAAATGTACTCTGCAAATTAGGCGTATGTTGGAGAACAAAAATGAAAGTGTGGTATTTTTAACCTCCCTGTCGTTTAACTTTGCATGGTACGGGTTCGAATATCATGAATTTTTGGTATCCTTTGGCCACATTTCATTTAGTTCAGCAATGCTTCCACACGAAATAAGACTTCTTATTTTGATATCAGTGACTTTCGATTGTAGTTTTGTTTCTCGCTATGTTTCACAGCTGTATTGGATATAAAGACTGGTCATCGAGCAACTGTGTTTGAACATTACTTCTTTAACTGATAAGCCAAACACACCAGGAGAAACCCAAACAGAGACCCATTTACATGTTTTCGTTAATAAACGTGGTTTCGACAACGTTATTTTTATACCCACCGTGCCGATGAAATATCATGAACTCGATTTTCTTACATTGACGTCATTTCCTGTTAATGTTTAGCTCAATATACCCGTTCATTACCGGTTTGCGGAGCAGTCCTTGCGTAGAGAGTAGCCAATAGCTTGCCGAGGGGCCATGCAGCTCAGTAGCGAATCCTCTCTCTTTTTACGAATTGACGCAACATCTGGTTTGACCTACGTTGGCGTTCGATAAAATTTCGACTATAACACATATTGAGACGGGATTGCATTTCACACAGGTCTTAATGTTAATTTACACAGCTCAGACTATGAGTGCGAATCACGATACGAATTCGTCCAAAAGGTGTAGAATAGACTGTGCCTAATTTGATTTCTGCCATATAATATGGCATGCGAGATTCACCCTTTCGTAACTCTGTCGCGGTAGCTTAGTAACGCAATCCGTCCTTTCGTTGAATGTTCGATGTACTGTTACAATCTGCTATAGATCAAATACGTGTCGAAAGCATTAAATGAAATCCCAAATGAATGTTAGGCGCGGTTGTCAGATTCGAAGGAACGCTTTCATTGGTAGATAGGGACGGAAGTAGCTAATGTTATTGGTTTCCTACCGATAAACTGAAAATTAAAGATGTATAATCATAGTTAAGAACATACACCCTTGTACTTATGTATTCTGTAGAAGTACGAGACTAGAAAAAATACTTACCTCAGTGAAAAAAGTCAATTTTCCAGTTTGTAAACTATTAAAAAATATGTGTGTGTAGTGTATTTTGAAAGTATATCTTCTCAAAGATTTATGTTTTTTTTAAATATTGCGAAATCTTATATAAATAGCATCAAACTTGTACCTTTACTTAGTATATTATGTTACGTCTGGTACTACTCGAACGTGCTTCAAATTGAATACGGTACACGTATGTTTAAAAATCGGCAAATCGACATGCGTACAGGGTTATTGGGTGTAATGTAATTATAGACTCTTAAAATTTGATGCACACATATTTTTGTCTTTTGTTTTTGCATCAGAAATACGGAGTTATGGCCCGGGTACTATACAGTAATGCACATAAAATAGACAGATTTTCTTTTCCTTGACATATTTGGTCTAATTATGATATTTGAATTAGTTCAACATCTTTTATTTTAAAAATTCAAATGCAATTGGTCACAAATTATGCAACTTAGGAACGTTCTCTTCCGTAAACAAATATACCATGGTAACAAAAATATAATGACAGCATTTCATGATAAAAGTAAATCTATGTTTCTATATGTATACAGTATGTATATAAAGAAAGACAACAAAAAACTTTACTGTATACAGATGGAGGTATGCATCTTCTCTATATCAGAAGTTCAGTGAATTCACTTGATATGTCATAAATATATGTAGTATGTTCACGTGTATATGGATATAATTAGAAAATTTATAATAAAGTTTTAGTTTTAAACAAAGGTCATTGACTTTAAACATAACATATTGTCTTGATTTGGAAAAGGGGTTGGACACAAGTTATTATAACTTATCAATGCCTTCTCCCATCATACATCTACAATTACATGAAATCAATGAAACAGACATCATTTATATTTATATATATATATACAGACACAAGGTCAAAACAAACAAACATTTCTAAAAATCTATCGCTAGGTTTGATAAGGTTTTGCTTTCGATGTATATTGCATATGTAAAACTCACGTGTTAAATCACGAAACCATTCATTAATTGAACTAATGTATTTGGTGGTATCTTAATTAATTTGGTACTTAAATATATTCAATTAAGGGGAAAACCAGATCTTTGAATTATTTATTTTAAATTCATAATGAAATGTAAGTAACTTGAACACGAACAACCTGTATTACAGGAATTTAGAATACATATGCCTTTTTGTTTCTTTGTGACTTTTAAACAGTATTAGTGCGGTTATTGTTAACTATCACACTTATCAAAACGTATGATGTCTATTGATCTATTATAGTATGATGATTGGAAGCAGAATGACCTTCCAGTTGGTAGAGCTCCTACTTCGTATACGGATTGTGTCAAAAAGTTGTTTGACGTTTGAATTCGTAAATGAATAAAAAAATTATTAATTTCATTTAAACCCAGTGCTTAACTTAACAGTAGTCTTTCACACTCAAAATTGCTAGATTAAAACCGGATGAGAAGGATAGCTCTCGGAGGCAACTAATGTGAGTCCATCTTCAGAATTTTGCTTCTTAAACGAACATATAGCATATGATATACGCAAATGCCTTCAATTTTGTTTTTAAGTTTACCTTAAAGATTTATGAGATTTGATTTATTTGTTGTCTCTATTCTCACACACATTTTGTGAATGACCTCAGTGGTGTTGAAGGTCCGCTAGAGGACAGTGCCATATGCAGGTATACCTTTAAGGCTCAGAGGTCAAAGGTAAATGTCAATCAAAATAAAAGCATGCTCTGTGCCAAGTGATGACGTACAGATATCATTTCTGCCAAGTTGTCAACACATGAGATGTAAACACAAATACACGTCAAAATTCCTTTTAATGTATTTTGCAGAGGGGTGTATATTTCTGACGGCCAGATTGAAGGATTGGAGAGAGATTGCCGTGTGATACCAGTGGAATGATCAGGGCTTTCAGCCAACAGATACAGTAAGAATTCTAAATGTACTCACGATAACAACTAAATACTTTTATGCTTGAACGTAAGAAAATATCTAAAAGAAAATCAGCTGCTATTAAAATACCTATTTTTTTTTACAGGTCGTGTAATATCTTATACTAGGTATGCCCCCTACATATTCTGTTACACACATTGCAAAATGCATTTTTTTGATAACCGACTCATGTAAAAAAAACACATATAATAATAGTAATACGAATTACATCACCATTAAGACACGCGCGCATTAATGATTAGTATCACGTGGATTGCCGAATTGTATCTATATGCATGTCTATTACACAATAAAATGCTAATTATATAGACCGGAAGTTGCGTATTTCACATGTTGGTACATGTGGTTTACATTTCCATCGTTTGCGTTGTGTTGCCGATAGAATTATTTAGTGTTAGTCTAGGTAACGGCCGCAGGGTCATGCTAAATGGAAATTCGTATCAAAAGTCGGTTAAGCAGCAACTGTTAGAAAGCTGTGGAAGTCGCAAGAGAACCAAATTATCTCGATATAAAATAAAAAACAAATCAAGCTTGTTCGCAATAAATAAACAAATTAAATTACTGATAGCGTTAAGATCACCGTGTCGACGGGGTTGTTCATCATCTGTTGCGTCGTCCGCACTTAAGTTTGTTGCTCGAACTCCATACTCTACTTACTGAAATAGCTTGTTCCTATACCTTTTGGACTAGAAGTTCAAATGTCAAGGTCACCGTCACCACAAGCAGAAAATTAACTTCTGTACATCTAATAGAGCTCTTCTGCGACCTTTTTAAAAATACTTTTTTTCAAAGGGTTGTCTGATCTTTCAAAGAGTACTTGTTTGGGATTACTTCTCACGTCTGAAGGTCAAATGTCGACATTATTAAAATCGTTGCTTTTTGCGAAAACGTGAATTCTATTGAAATTATTGAATTTAAATTCCTTACTGCAAGCGTTTGTTTCTTCAATTAGAAATATAATATGTCTCGTTACACTTCTCCACGACTGTGAATAGATTCTCTTTCTTGCACGCATTTCTCGCCAAAATACATTTCACTTGGATGTCCGTAATGTTGTCACTTTTTTACTTTGTGATCAGATTTACGTCACTGAAAATCATAATAAATCAGAATGATGTCTATAGTCTTGATATATGTGTGTTCTGGGCTACCCGAAGGCCATCTTAGACTCTTAAAGGTTAGTAATCTGCAAAAATGATCTGATATGTCCTGGATTCCCGCCCCTCCCCCTCCACTCCACACAACCCTCCCTCCCCAATCACAACCACTGCCTGTCTGTACGTGTAATATTGTTACCACCTACAAAGTAAAAGTGTGCATGTTCTATGCACGCGGGACACGAAATGCGCAGGCGGCGAAATATAATCTCTAACTCATGCTTGTACTAATTAGTACACTAATTGGTTAAGTGTGGACTACAGATGAACCTTTTGGATATGTTTAGTTTGCTCGAGTTAGTATGATACACGGTTGGTATTTCACATTACCTGCGATAGAAAAAAAACCTGGTGTATGGTAAAATTTTAAAAACATGAACTGTTGTTCATAAAGGCAAACATATCAATGCGCTTTACTGAAAAAATATGCTAGAGGGTTTTATTTTATTTGATCGATTTTCATCTTTTCAAAGCATGCAACCGATCGCGCTACGACTTTGGGTATCGTCCGTCTGTCCGTCCAAGTCCTTAAACAAATCTTGTTATCGCTATATCTTGAGAAGTACAAATGTATTAGATGGATCTTTCTCAAATTCAATATGTTCCCTTTGTCACTAGTTGTATCCTTTTGGGATTGGATTTTGACAATGAAAGATGTTGTCGCCATATCTTGAGAGGAACTGGGCGGATTGTCTATACAAGTTTTTCTTTGTCCGTATTTGTGCCCTTTTAAGACTTGCAGACCGATTAAAAAACAAACATAAAAATTACTGGCAGGTGGCCGCTTTGGAATTTGACAATGAAAATTTGATAACACTATTTCTAGATAAATACTCTGTGGGCCTTCCTCATATTTGATGTGACGGTTTCCCTTTGGTTCCTATTTGTATCCTTTTGATTTTGGGAATGGTCAGAAAAAAATTGTTGACAGCGGCCATCTTGGATCTTGGCAATGGAAGTTTGGCTATATCTTGTATCGCTATATCTTGAGAAGGTTTTTTAATTCCATATAATTACGAGCAAGAACTTAGGAGAGACGAGAAAAAGGAAAGGAAATGATCCATCAAATGAAGATCAAACAATACTAGAATCCAAGATCCGTCTTGGATTTCTTGTGATTGTTAGATCAGAACGAAAATTCTGTCCATCGCTACAGTCCATAGCACATCAGATTTCTTTCACAAGCATCATCATCATGACTATGACTCGATGTTCGATAGACTGTGAAAATGAAAATAAAAACTGAGAAGAATTTAGAAGTAGGCGTGGTCAAGTGACTCATTTTGGTTCTTCGGTAGCTCTAGAAAACATTTCTGATGGCATAGGAACATCCAAATAGGAACAATAGCGATGTTTTATGAAATATTCTTTGGTTTGAAAGAGGTCCTGTTTTATGAAGCCCAAATCCCGCTGGATATCCGCCAATTTGCTTTCACTTAGTCACTCCGTGTGTTTGATCTGATCTACGGGCCGTGGTCTTAGTGGATAAGTATGTTGTTTGAATTGCTGTGTAGCATGATTTCTCGTCACTCGGGACGTGTTACCATGTGATTCTCTATAATCTTTCAAAGTGTTGTCGAAGCTGGATCGGAACACACTGTGCGTTTGGGCGCGGACATACAATGTGTTACATGGATACGCGTGGTAGCTAGGTAACAGGGGAGATAAATCTATCATATTGCGTTACTGTTCAATAGCAGACGAAATAGATTGTGACATCACATACATAATTTACCTTTTTTTCACTCGGCACATGCTAGGTGACATGTACTTTCTAGCGTCTGACTGATTTCCCTACCGTAGTTTCTCTACTGGCCGCTTTGATTAAGAAATAATTAAATTGGATCACATAGCTTTCCACTACTGCTACAGTGTCAATGAGCGCATCCTAGCGGAGAGAAGCTGTACCTGTATCAAGGCAGATAATCCGGTTCATTACTTACATCATAGAAGATGATTACGTCAAACAATAAATCCGTTTATGTGTTTTATCAAACGAGATAAGATATAATATCATCGTGTTGTCTCCTTTGATGAGTACTGCACCGCCATTTCTCTCATCGTATAAAGTCCCTCTTTGTGAATACGAATGATTCTTAAACATTTTGCTATTATGAAAAATTGTTTTTCATTTACTATAAACACAGTCATATAGTATATATATGGCTCTGTAAAATTATCGTAACTGTGACCCGTTGATTCTGCGAAGAACCAATCCGCAAAAATTCGCTATTGTATACTGAGTATAGAACACGAAAATTTCCTCACTCTCTAGAGACAGAGACTCTCTGTGTAAACGTCATTCAACACTTTGTCCAGTATTCTCGTTTAAAGTCCCATTATTGTAATGAAGTATACATATTTAAAACCTTATTTACCATTTTTCACTCGATAAATCATCGTGTAGCACAACATGACAATGTTTAAGAGCGTTTCACCTGACCTGACCTTGGCGAAGGGCCATAATGAACTCCAGGTAAACAGTATATGTGTATTTGGTATGTAATTACATATAGCTCCGGACTATCTTATTTGAATTGTTAACAATTTTAAAAAGACTCCTTTATAATCACACAAAAAGAGTAATTTTACGTTCTCGATTTTCAATCGTTTGTAAATGTTATTCTAGATTTGTCATTACTAACGATAACTAGGCCAATCAACTGCGCACGGAATGTTCAGGAATGTACAATAGCCATGGCACTAGATTTTGAATGCTAAGGACAAAAAGAAAATCTGCCTTCGAAAATTGTTAACTTATTGTAAGATGTGGTTTTCTCAAAATTAAAATGATTATTGAAAAAAAGTTTGACTATTCGTAATTCCTAGGGCCTTTTAAAATTATTCTGGAAGAAAACAAAATCAAGTGTTCCACTACCAAGATGGAACTTCCCTGGTTTTGTACTCACGATGAATTTGGTATAGCAACATGCCTTTCCGAGGGCGGAGAGAAATTGCAGATGCGTTTCCATAGTATTTTTCGTGTTAACTACAGTGAAACTAAACAGAAATATAGTACCAAGCAATTCTGATTTGTGTGATCCCCAGATTAGAAATAAATGTATGACCGACATTCCGTAGTTATGGACAACATCTCTCAACGTCGTCAAGAAGTATAATCGTTTTATGTTCATTGCCTAACTGTAAGACATGGTCAATATTCCTTGTAACAGAATAAGGTAGCTAGCTTCATTTTATAATCAAATGAGAACTTTGCATGTCTGATGAACAAGAAGAAAATTGAGTGTACACAGTTTGATGGTGACAGGCTACATCTCGTGTCGTCTGCTCAGGGATTTGGCTGGTTTTCGTGTCTGTAAGTAGAAAAATCAATATTGTAGAGATTTCCTCCGTTGCCTTTAGTGTCACAGAGGGCGAGCGACGAAGTCTATGACCTTTGGTTTCTGGGGCTATTTATTCTTGTCTTTAGAGAGTCATACTGGTGCTTATCGAGACATGAGAAGAAGACATGTCTGTGTCAAGAATAGCGTCTTATATGGAGCTATTTCTTATGGGAAATCTCCTAGATGCCAAAAGTTACAGAAAAAAAAAGAATCCAGCCAATTTTGATCAGTATAACTGGAGAAAGTATTTTGTATTTATAAATGAAGGCTCCTTGTTGACCGACAGATATACATGTTGTCCACACTAGCACATAACAGAAATTTAGGCTTTCACTGCACGCCATTTTGCAGCAGTAGAGTAATGTTATTGCGTGTCGGACCAATCTAGCTTCTCGTCCTTCCTATTACACGTCGCTAAGGAATGCCAGAGGCAACAGGATCACCAGTAATACACTAATCATCGACGAGAGCTC